AACAGACATTGTGTAGTGATTAGAGATGGCACTAAGAACGGCAAGATTTACTGATTATGCCAAACTGCGAAGCAGACGAACGTCTGGGAATACACAATATCTACATTCCGTCGCTGGGACTTATCACAACCACCAGAGCAGAGGAGTTTGGACAAGGTGTGCTCAACTGGGTGACCATGACAACACGATCAAATTGCGAAAATGAGGTATGGGCCTCAATTAAGTTGACGAGGCAAGTTAAAGAGAAGAAGGCAGATTAGAGGTACAGAAATGCGAAATAGACCGAAACATAAGATTGTACAGAGAAAGTCAATCAGTCCAGACGTTGCTGTTTTGTCACCAAGTAGTGATTAGTCACGGAGGCCTTAGAGTGATTACATTAATGTGAAAAGTAATGGCGACAAAATGTAATTATTATTTCAAAGTCGTATGATTTGCTTTCATACCAAAGGCGTAACGAAATGATTTTTAAAGGCTATTTTAGCTGAATCTTCTTATGTCGACTGAAATTGTACCTTTCCTCCTCCGCTCGATCGATTCGCTGTCCTATATTTGGGATATTGGCTTGCCCTCCAGTGGGGCCTGGGGACAGACGACGGTTTGTCTTGGATTGCGTTTCGTGTCCCCTCGACGCGTAAAAACGCACACAGACATGCAAAACTGGCCAACATCTCATGTCTCCCGTACGAAGGAGAAGTGGGCTTTGATGGTTCTCCCGGGCCAACAAGGTTGGGGAGACCTTCATTTGGTATGAAAGTGTGTTTGAGCTGATGGTTGCCATGTCGAGGTCATCAAGAGACGAAGGCTGATTCGCATTGTTCTGCAGCCGTGGACGGATTCATTACGACCTCCGGTGGACGCAGTCCACGAGACTGCCTACCTTGTTTCGGGAGAAGACGGGCTGAGCTTTTGTTCGTCCAGCCGCTCGATGTGGACCATCAGAGCTGGGACTCATTCAGGCAAGTTTCCGACCAACTTTCGCTTTTGAGTAGGCTTTCGAGACGGCCAATGGAGTTCGGACAAGAATTGTGTGTTCTCATTAATTAGCTTGAGACGCTGCGTTCGAGTTCTGCTGGCAGTGCGGATGATGCCTAGACGAGGTCGAAACTGTGTGAGTACATCTTTTGGGTAGCAAGTCCACGCGAAATGGGATTGTAATGCGAAACCCACACATATGCTTGTGGCAAAAGTCAACCGACAGTCCTTTATCCTCTTAAAACGCAATTTGGTCAATAAATGCCAAAGAAGGTTTGCTTTCCAGCAATCTTCTGAAGGATATTCGTTAGTTCAATTCTTCTATTTTTGTGTAGAGGTGCTTGGTAAAGAGACTCGAAAGTCAATCCTACCAGAAGACTATGGCGGATTTCTCTCTGTCAGCTGTCCATTGACTTAATTATGCATTATCATAGAAGTGGGTTGACCTCGTTCTCGCAACTTGGTCTTGTTGTCAGGGTGACTTAGTAGAACGCATCTAGTCCGAAGTCGCCTGCCATAGTGGTTGTCATGATTCCCAGCATCTGACAGTCGACTTGATACATTGATACATTGAAAATGTATCAAGCCCACCGTCAGATGCCGGGAATCATGACAACTACTAAGTCACCCTGACAACAATACCAAGTTGCGACAACGAGGTCAACCCACTTCTACAAATCGAAAGGAGACTGCGACCATAACAGAGGCCACAACATCTTGGTCTTCATATATTTATTCATTATTATGTTCTTCAATCTCATGATCGCCTCCTTGCTTATCCTATTTCCTGATACAATCTCTGGGTGTTACTCTAACGCTGCTCCTAAAGCCTGTATGGAAAGTTACTTTGTTCTCCGGCAGCATGGCAAAGAGAGTCTGGTAGACTTCTTTAGGCTAATACATTACGGACAGTAAGTCACCCTTTTTAGATGTAATAGTTGGTACAAAAGGGTTTCTTATTAATCTTTTATCGAAGCATGCTTATGGTGTTAACGTAGGAATAATTAAGTTAATATTAATAGGGAGTTTCCGTCCAGTAAACGTTACTCATCGGGAGAAGGAATTGGAAAGTCAAAGAAAAATCTTAGTCGTGAACACGTATCCGCAGTAATTCATTATAGATAATTTCGAAATACTAAAAAAAGGGTGAGAAAAAACAGTAATTCGAAAAATATAGACGAATTACTGATGAGCTGCAACGTCAGAAGCATGCATAAAGTAATACCTATTTCCTCCTGGGTCATGTCTTCTTTTGGAGAATCTTCAGGCGCCCTCTGCAAATCAGATTGTCATAAGACCTTGTGCGCATGTGGTAGTGTCTCTGTGGGAGAGACTTGCCAATCGGTATACAAGAGCTGATTGGAACAGAAAACCGCTTGCGAGGGTTTATGTATTCATAAATCGGAGCGATCAGAAAGTGGAATCAACAAAACAAAGAACATCCTGAGCGAGAGGAATGTGCCTAAGCGACTAAGCGAGAACCATTTCTGGCTGCTGAATAGGATGAGGGCGAAAACAAGAAGAGACACCGAGTAAGGGAAGGTTTGGCATATTTTTGCTCTACTTTGTAAGGTATCAATTCTTACTCTGATGATGTCTGTCAGGCTGAAAGAGACCAAAACTTAGCACAGGTTCATCGGGGCGGCAGGACGGCCAGCACAGAACAACAGTCATCACTACGCGGCAACCCTGTTTCGGGCTCCGGTGAGACCACAGCACCGATTCCGTCCAACCAACGTTCGCTTCGAAATGGCAGGTAATGTCATAATATATCACTAAGGTACTATGCGAAACCCACTTTTTCTTCATATCTGGTTTGGTGCTCAAAATTGCCAACCAATTCGTGAGCAGTGCATACACACAATGCACATGCATACGCAAAGCTCTAACATGACTCAGGATTACAGCATCATACCCTTTTGTTTATGTGCAGTTGTGACCACATCCACTCCCCTCTCGACACCACTTTGACCCACTTACATGCATGCAGGAGAAGCATAAATCAGTCAACCAAATCATGCAATGCCTCATTAAGATGGCAGTGAGGTGTGTGAAATAAGTTGGATGTCAACTGGCCACTCTACTTGGTTTAGGTTTTTCGATGCTTGTTCTTGAATAATGCCTGTTCTGGATCTGATGAGGTCCGTCACGTGACGGACGAAATCACATCACCGAGTCAACGGGGTCGTAAGACGGTGAGTCGAGGTCCTTTTTCGCACAATCCAACAGACAAAGGTTCATAGCAACCCTCTTCTTCGGCATTAGGTAAGACCAATCAACGAATCCGTCCCAACTGCCAGTATCGATAACTGCTTACTTTTGGTATGAACACCATCAATATGGAATTCGATGTCTCTTGTAAACTATATTTCTGAGATTTACTCTGTTTTAAAGAAGACTGCGACCACACAAAAGGCCACATCATCTTGTTCTTCATACCTTCAAATCATAGAATGCCTCGGTTTTGTGTCTTTGGGTCATTTTCGTGAATAATGGTTTCTGGCTCTGAGGATGTTGATGATATGACCGGAATCGAATGAGATTGCCTCCATGAATGTTGCAGTAAAGCCAATCGACAGCTGGTCAAGAGGAATCCGGCGTCGTCTTCTGGTGGAAGCGACCTTCCAATCTCTTCACCAAACACTTCCACTCGACATGGAAGTCTTCCAATAGAGCCAATCGACATCTGGTCATGAGCAATCCGCCGCCCTCTTCTGCTGGGCTCCATCCATGAAGCTCTCTACCCAACACTCTCTCTCGCCATGGAAATGAGCGCAACAATTCTCCTTTCATACTTGTGTGTGTGTGTGTGTGTGTGTGTATGTGTGTGTGTGTGT